TTGCCAAAAACGACTCTCTTCGATAGGAAGAGTTAAGAGATTGTCTCTGGTCTGAATTCCTGGCCATACTGACTTGGAAGGCAATGAGGTTACTGACTCCCTTGCAAAGGAGAGTGCTGCCAGCAGCTTTATTGGACTCGAATCTGTCAGTAGCATTTAGGCTTTGCCAAACAAACATTGAACACCTGAATAGCAAGAAGATTTATGGACTTCTGGCAGAGTCTTCCAGGATGCTCACTCCAAGGTGAAAATTGATACCAAACAGTTGAACTACAGTAGGGATGAACTACGATGTCTAACAGGTCTTTTTACAGGTCACTGCATATGTTGATGAGCCGTTTCAATAATGAGCAATTCCTCCAAATTATTTGAAAAAGTATTATATTCCAATATTTACAGTCCAATCCAAAAGAGATGTGTTTCCTACAAGCATGGGCTTGTAGGAAACACATCGTGTATATCCAATCACGCATGTCTGGCAAAGAGCTTTGGATAATAAATTGCAGGTTGATATTAGTTATACAGACATGCAAAAAGCTTTTGATGAAATCGATTTCTTTATTCTTGTCAAGCGTCTATCAGAATTTGATTTTACAGTAAGTTTGGTGAAACTTATCAATTTCTACCAAATCACCCACTGGATAGTTTGTGGAGAATGAAGGCTTTCTATATGATTTATATACTCCCAATTCCGGAGAATTGAGATTTGATATTTGTTTGGTGTTCCAATGATCGTTTGAATCTCAACACTGCTAAATGTCATGTATTGTCTTTTTCTAGAAAGGAAAGGCCAATACAGTTTACTAATGAAATTGATAACAATACCATCAGTCGAGTTAATGCAATGAAAGGCCTTGGCGTTGATTTTGATCAGAAATTAGATTTTGTTTCATTTATAGATCAAGCTGTTTGATCCGCTAGTCGAATGTTGGGCTACATAATGAGGAACATTTTCAGACGTTTTTAAACATTAGTTTCAAATACAAGCGGTAATAAAACATAGTAAATTTCATTTCTCAATTTTCATGAAACAATATGTAATCAACTCAATCATTTTATTAAACTAGAGATAATACCAGTATTCTAGTTTCTGCATTGGAAACAACGGAAACAATTCGAGCACCAGCTCGAGCATTATAAGCTTACTTCATCGCTTGGATTATGTCTACCGCAGTAGTAGACGAAACGTCAGGCAGACCATGGCCAAAAAACCCGGAAAATAGCTTTGACACAATTTTATATCAGTTCAACTTTAATGGTGATCTATTGAATTTAAATGATTTCAAAAATAGCATTGTAATTGGCAATAGGAAAATGATTTTTTTCTCTGTCGTAGTAAAAATTCATCATTTTCGGACAATTGACATTCAAGAGTAACTTCCAAAACTATCGCAATTCCCGAACGCAACACCCAGCGCTGATGATAAATCACGATAAGCAAACAGGCAAGAGGTATTTCAATTACGTATTAGAGACACCGAATAATTTTCAATTCCCGGCATTCCCGTCCGCTCCCGACTCGTGGGGTCGGACCGGGTAACATCTGCTCGGAGAGGCACAGCTTGTTTTGTTCGAGAGGGTTCGTTGGTGTGTATTGGGAAAAGATGCTGCACCAGTGGCAGCTGAGATATCGAGCAGAAACAAGAAATGAAGCCAAATATACCCGAAAAACGACATTAGTTGAATCAAGATGGGTTTTCTTGTATAGAGCTTATAATTTTTGGTCCTACGAGCCGGATTGGTCAACCTTTCCTTTCTTCTTTGTGATTTGAATCTGTTTAAAATCTGTTTTTCCGTTAATCAGCTGTCGCCTCCATACGAACGACAACTCTCAGAAGTTGAAAAATTTGTGCGAGCTAAGGACTGACGAGATCTTACCTTTTACCGTGTGATTCCTAACCCGGAATACCAAGACCATTTATGTCACATAATCATTCTTTGTTTGGGCTAGTCGTCCTGCTCGAAGAACCACTACTACTCATATTTTTCTGTCATTATCGAAATATTTTCTTGTTTGTGTTGTTTGTTACATGTAAAAGGGTAGTCCCAAAAGTACCCGGCTTAACCTAGAGATGACGGTAGTTGTTTGAAAAAACTTTCACTGTATCAGAATGTAGACAATCTATAAAGGGGAATCCCGTGGTAGCCATGGTAGTGGACTGACGTGCTGATAACGTCCGCCCATAAAGAAGGTACGCGGATGCCTTATGCTATCGGAAACTCCTTTTTGTGTTGTGTTAGTCCATTGTGTTAATTACTGATTACCACGTAAAGGGGTCTGTATATGTGGAAAAAACCAAAAAGTCTCCCAAGCAGGAGGCTACTGCATAAAAATCAAATTGTTTTCATGATAAAAAATTGGTGGCAGCATTGCTTCGTGTAAGACCGCTGCGCCCCTCCGACGAAGCTCCTGTCAACCAACAGGAGAAGCATTGGTCATATGCACCTGAGGATAGAAAGCATCCAAAATAGGGCTATAAAGCATATGTTTCAAGTTTGAAGACGCTGTGTTGTTTAGTATTTATTTGGCAGCGATCAATGGCGAACGTTTCCGATAAATTTGTGAAAATAAAGAGAATTGGTCATCGTTATGTGATACAATACTTTCATTTGAAAGTCATCAGCCCAACCAATATGAAAAGTGAACTGGACTCTACTCTGGATGAGTCTGCTCCCTCATTTACAAAATTGGTTACTTACGTAGGTGGCTGCTAGTTCGTTTAATCCATGTCTTTCTTTTATTTCTATCAGCTTTTTGTGATATTTCAATAAATACTAACCCAGACTAACCCAGAGATGGCGCTCTTAGTAAACCAGTAACCACGTCTTTCTAGAGTACTAACCTTTGCTTGAAACGTGTCGAAATTTTAAGTCGATCGGATCAGAAACAGCTGAGTTATCGAGGTTAGAGTAAAGTCGTTTTGTAGTTTGTTTAAAAAATGGAAAAAACCGAGTTTCGTGTTCTGATAAAACATTGTTTTTTAATGGGTAAAAACACCGTGCAAGCGAAAGAATGGATTGAAAAATAAGAGCTTTTTGAATTTTTGTATGACCTGTCTACTGCAAGCGCGTTAGAAGACGGTGAGATTACAAACTTGCGATAATAATCACGTAGTGTACCAGAGTAGTCCCAGAAGTATCTGCCCTGACCTAGAGATGATGGTAGTTGTTTGAAAAATATCACCGTATTGGAAAGTACACAAACTAGAAAGCATAAAGTTTGAAGACGCTTCGTTGTTTATTATTTGTTTGGCAGACATTAATAGCTGACGCTGGATGGTGGATGCTTCTAGTAGTAACATCGGTGCGGCAGTACAACTTCAGCTGGGAAATTGGAAACCATTGGCATTTTTCTCTTCAAAATTATCAAATGCTCAAACAAAATACAGTACTTAAGATAGAGAACTCCTTGCGATTCATGAGTCAATAAAACGCTTCCGTTTCATGCTCGAAGGACGTGAATTTGTGATATATTCTGATCATAAACCTTTGTTACCAGACAAACCCGATACCTCGATTTCATTAGTCAGTTTTCAACAGACAGGCATATTTCTGGATCCAAAAATATTGTTGCTGACGCCTCATCAAGAGTTTCGGACATAACTCAACAAAATTTTATGTACTTTAGCAAATGGAAAGAAGAACAGGATCATGATGATGAACTTCAGAAACTTTTTTCAGGAAAAACATCTCTTCAACTGAAAAAAAATACAAAGGCCTGGATGTGACAGTAGGATCTATTGTGATGTTTTTACTCATCATATAAGACCATATGTTCGAAAAATTTGCACAGTCTGTCTTACCCTGGTATCAAATCCACTATAAAACTCATCAAAAGTAAATATATTTGGCCTAGAATTGAGAAAGATCTTCGAGAATGGGTTCAAAACTGTATCCTCTGTCAAAAATCCAAAGTTAATAAACATGTGGTTACTCCTGTCGGCAAGTACAATATCCCTAACTCAAGGTTTGAACACATCATTATTGATATCTTCGGATCTTTGCCACCTTCAAATGATTTTTCTTATTGCCTAACATGCATAGACCAATTTTCCAGAAGGGTAGAGCATTCCCTATGGAAGACATACGTGCTGAAACAGTAGCTAAGACTCCTTATAATGGATGGGCCACTAGATTTGAAGTACCTTCCAGACTAGCCACAGATCAAGGAAGACAGTTCGAGAGTTCCTTATTCTCTGAATTTTCCAAAGTAATGGGTTTAAATCTCTTGAGAACTACATCATACCATCCAAGTTCTAATGAAATGATTGAAAAGTTCGACAGAACTATGAAAGCTGCCCTCAAATGCCATTCTGGGAAGTGGACTTTGACTGGTTTTTGTCACTATATAAGCCATCTTATCAACAGCGAAACTTTTTTAAAGAAATCGGTATGTTCTTTATCTCAAAATGAAAATTAACCTTTGTATGTCACTAGTTTTGAATCATCTTGACCATTTCTATTTCATTTATGGTCCTTGTTCGAATGAAGATGGTAAGAATCGTATACAAAAAGGGTGTAATAGTTTTGAAGACTTATTTTTAGAATATGTTAATATGACTTCCTACGAACTCAAACAATGCAAATGCAACAAGTTGAACATGAAAAATAGAAAGCTGTATGAACTACATAAAATCATGAAATGGTAGTGTTTCCATATTTACGACAGATTCGATAGCAGCACATTTGTTGACTATTACTGGAGTTTTTTCCCAACACAAAATCGTTATTTTTAACACAGTTTTAATCTTCCTCTTTGAAGATGATCAATTGGTGATCGAAACACGTGTCGAAGTGTTAAAAATAACGATTTTATGTTGGGAAAAAATTCCAGTAATATTTATTACTACACCAAAGGTTCCAAACAGTGCATCATATATTTTTGTTGACGTCAACTGGTTCTTTCATAGGCAACAAAGTAACTTTTCACAGTGAAGCTGAAGCAAGAATGTTCGTGGTTGAAATAGTTCAATAGGTATATTGGATGAAACACAGTAACATATTTTTCACCATATATTTCTCTGCTGAAATTTTACAATGCTCTATTCTACATTCCTCCTAAATAAATGTATTTATATTTCATAAATTAATTTCCAAAGACCTGGACACTGTATTCCAAACCGTGATTTTTTGTAGAGTGGAACTCCAAGGTAACAAAAGAGTGACCAAGACCTCCTTCTTTCACAAACACAGTTGATCCTTTCGATGCCGGTTTTGCACTCAACGCCAGTATACAGTAAATATTCTTATCTCCATGCCATTGCGTCTGTAAAATAAATGAATTAATTCGAAATATTTGAATATGTTCAATATTATTTTTTAGAAGAATTATATTTATTCAATGGATGAGAGTTTTGTTCAGAGTATCAATCATTTTCAGATAATATGTGAATAAAATTTCAAAAAGTCGTAGAGTATTGGAATTTTGAAAAATTTCAAATATGACAACATATTACAGACAGGATGCAAGAGATATTTGAAAACAGATTCACAACACAGAACAAGTCTAGTGTGTTGACTTCTATAGTTCAATAATTCCACCTAATAGAGATTTCATCATGTTGATTTCAACCTTCTGTTTTTCTCATATATTAGAGTTCAGTTCGGTATTTATAATTACCAAAATGTTAATTGTTTCCTTTTGGTTTTGACGGAAACTATAAAGCGGGTTCTCTCCTCTCCTTATAGATTGCACATGTATTTGTTGAGCTTCTAATGCCTATTTGCAGACTTTTTATTGCTTCAAAACTCTTAGCCCTCAACTCCGAGTTAACTTTCAGTTTGCAAAGAGTTTTCTCCTTTCAGAAAGTTACCCTCTTTTTTATAATGTTGGAAAAGTAGAAATCTTTGAGAAGTTTTTCCAGAACAAATTGAATTTATTGTCTGTTAGAGTCGAATTCTACTGAAATGGTACTTCAGAATGTGTGAAGTGAGTTTTCATCTGATAAACAATATTATCAGTCCTGATAAACTCGTTCGTTAGTCAAGAATAGATAAATACTTTCGAAATTTTCAAGCCATGAAGAATTGAATGGAAAACTGCCATTTACAAGAATGCTAAAAAATAGATGGATTTTATTTCTTACCATTAATGACTCTCATAAAGTTTGAATTTTGAAACAGTATGTTTCAGTATATTTTTGAATCTCATTGAGTTTGAATGTTGAAACAGTATATTACAGTATACTCATGACTCTCATCAAGTTCGAAATTCTAAATAGTATATTCCAGTTCATTTATGATCCTCATTAAGTTTGAATTTTCAAACAATTTATTTCACTATATTTATGACTCTCAATAAGTTCGAATTTTGAGATTGTACATTTCAGTATATTCATGACTCGTTAAATTTGAATTTTGAAACAGTATATTCCAGTATAATCATGACTCTCATTAAGTTCGAAATTCTAAACAGAATATTCCAGTTTACTTATGATCCTCATTAGGTTTGAATTTTCAAACAATTCATTTCAGTATATTTATGACTCTCATTAAGTTCGAATTTTGGAACAGTATATTTCAGTATATTCATGACTCTCGTTAAATTTGAATTTTGAAACAGTATATTCCAGTAGAATCATGACTCATCAAGTTCGAAATTCTAAACAGAATATTCCAGTTTATTTATGATCCTCATTAAGTTTGAATTTTCAAACAATTTATTTCAGTATATTTATGATTCTCATTAAATTTGAATTTTGAAACAGTATATTCCAGTATATTCGTGACTCTTATTAAGTTTGAATTTTGGAACCATAACAGTTAGTATATTTAGGACTCTAATTAGGTTTGAATTTCAAAACAATATATTCCAGTATATTGATGACTCAGAATAAGTTTAAATTCTGAATCAGTATATTTCAGTTTATTTATGACTCTCATTAAGTTCGAATTCTCAAACAATTTATCTCAGTATATTTATGAATCCCATTAGTTCGAATTTTGAAATAGTAAATTTCAGTATATTCATGACTCTCATTAAATTTCAATTTTGAAACAGTTTATTCCAGTATATTTGTGACTCTCATTAAGTTTGAATTTTTGAACAATAACTTCTAGTGTATTTATGACTCTAATGAAGTTTGAATTTTGAAACAGTATATTCCAGTATATTTATGACTCTCAATAAGTTTGAATTCCGAAACAGTATATGTATTTCAGTTTATTAATGACTCTCATCATGTTTGAATCCTTAAACAAGTTATTTCAGTATATTTATGACTCTCATTAAGTTCGAATTTCGAAACAGTATATTTCAGTATATTCATGACTCAATAATTTTGAATTTTGAAACAGTATATTACAGTATATTCGTGACTCTCATTGAGTTTGAGTTTTTGAATTGTAACTTCTAGTATATGTATTTATGACTCTAATTGAGTTTGAATTTTGAAACAATATATTCCAGGATATTTATGACTCAAAATAAGTTTGAATTTTGAAACAGTATAAGTTGTCCAGTATATTTATCACTTTCATTGAGTTTGGATTTTGAAACAGTGTATCCCAAAGTGACTTACCGTTGTATTCCTTGTCATAAATGGGATCCTAGTCAGGTGAACGTGATCTTGGAACACCAAATCACCCATTACTGCATTTGTGCAGTATCCATCTCTAATTTCGAACTGCTCTCTTGGATCATTCACTCCGTGAACGAATTTACAGCTGAGAGCACAAGCCACAAAAATCAAAGAAATAAGCTTCATTGCCTTGGTTGAACTATTTTTGAATGATCGAAATCTGGAACTTGATCGCAGTGAGAAGATTAACGAAATTTTCTATTTTATATATTATTGTCAAGAGGTTCCCGATAACATTGCGAAAGTGTCATTATCTGAAAATAGAGATAATACATAAGTTTTTTTCATTGGAAAATATCTTATAACATAATTTATTCTCAATGTTTTTGTTGAAATGTGTTGGAAACAGAATTCTTCGAAGGAAAGTGAGATTCTCAAACCTCTTAATGCTTCAATTCCTTATTTTTTGAAGTCATTGATGACTCTAGGAAGTTTACTCAAACTCTTGACAGGTCAACAGGCCAAATCTAACCTAAACCAGTATAATTGATTATATCAGGTTATAATTATTCCACAGTATCAGTAGTTACATTATGGATATCATAGTGAAGAGGGGAGAAGTTCAGCTTGTCAAGTGTAGGAAGAGCTTTCTGAATTTCTATGACCTGCCTACTAGAAGCGCGTTAGAAGACGGTGACAGTACTCCAGGCAACGTGGTGTACTACCGAAATTTGGAGTCGGTGACCGCAACTTAAGAGCGTTGACTTCAATTTTCGGTCGTTATGCTCGCCCTAGTAGACAAGTTTAGTGCAAAAATTTGAGTCTACATAATCATTGTGAGATGCTACCGTGCCAGTGAGACAACGGGATGGTCGAAGTGAGGAAAATATCGCTGCCGTTCAGGCGTCCGTAGCAAACCAGTCGATTCCGCGGTATTCCGAAGAACTGGTCATCGCCAAGACCACTTTATGGCGAATTTTGCGTAAAGATTTTAGTTTACACCCATACAAGATCAAACTGACTCAAGAATTGAAGCCGATGGACCATTTGACGCGACGTACTTTCTCCGATTGGGCTCTGGAGAAGACGTGCCAAGATGATGAATTTTATCGCAAAATCATCTTCAGTGACGAAGCTCATTTTTGGCTCAATAGGTTCGTCAATATGCGTTATTGGTCTAGTGAAAATACACATGTGCTTCATGATTCACCACTTCATCCACAAAAAATAACTGTTTGGTGCGGTTTGCATACCGGCGGTATCATTGGGCTATATTTTTTCGTCGACAATAACGATCGTAACGTTACTGTGAGTGGCGATCATTATCATGATTACCGATTATCATGATTACCGATTATTTTTGGCCCAAATTGGAAAACATGGATTTGGACGACATGTGGTTTTAACAGGACGGTGCCACAAGCCACACAGCATAAGTTACAATCGATTTATTGAAAAGTAAGTTTGGTGAGTGTGTTATCTCAAGAAATGGACCAGTCAATTGGCCACCTCGTTCGTGCGATTTAACGCCATTAGACTTTTTTCTTTGGGGCTACGTCAAATCATTGGTCTATGCCAACAAGCCGATGACGTTGGAAGAATTCAGAGCCAACATTGAACGCGAAACAGCGGCCGAAATGTGTTACCGAATCATCGAAAGTCGGGTCCAACGAATCGACCACTGCCGTCGTGCCCGGTGTGGCCATATGAAAGAAGTCGAGTTCCATTCATACATGTTTTAATTGTATTTCAAATCGATCATAAAGTTTTAGAACTATCTCTGATGGTTTGTGTTTTATTTTAAAAAAAGTTGTCAAGTCCTTATTGGAAAATTATTGGTAGCAGAGTTAAAACGAGGCCGTACGAGCTGCCAAGATGAGCATCACAGTGGTCAACCAAATGACGTGACGACTCCAAAATAGTGAAGAAAATCCTCAAAGCGGTACAAAATGGTCGTCGACTGAAAGTGCGGGAGCTAACAGACTCGGTAGGCATTTCAAAAAGTGCGGAACATCGTATATTATCTGAAAGTTTGGACAAGACAAAACTGTGTGCAAGATAGGTGCCGCGTTTACTCACACTCGAGCAAAAACAGTGTCGTAAAGATGTTTCAATTGAGTGTTTAGCAAAGTTTCACAGCAACAAAGCAGAATTCTTGCGTCGTTTCGTAACCATGCATGAAACATGGGTTCATCACTTTACACCCGAGACAAAAGAACAATTGAAACAGTGAATTCAGAAGGAAGAACCGGCTCCAAAGAGGGCGAAAACTGTTTCATCTGCAGACAAGGTTATGCGCGTGGGATGATTTTCATTGACTATCTTAAAAAAGATAAAACCATCAACGACGAGTATTATGCAAACATTATGCAACATTGGAGTGGAGAAATTAAGCAAAAACGGCCGCATTCGGTTAGGAAAAAGTGTTGTTTTATCAAGACAATGTACCAGCTCACAAATCCATTATCGCAATGACCAAAATCAACGGATCAATGTTTAAATTGCTACTTCATGTACCTTCTTCGCCAGAAATCAGCACTCTCGGATTATTTTCTGTTCCCAAACTGGGAAAAATAGCCCAGTGGTCAACGATGAAGAGGTAATGTCGACAGTTGATGGCTATTTTGAGGGTCAAGATAGTTCTTATTATAAAAACGGTATCGAATTTACTGAACGTTGCTAGGGTGTATTTTGCCGAATGATAATTTTAAAATACTAGCAGTAGAGGGATGCAATAAAACACCACTAGGTCACCACTAGGTCAGTGGTCGTAGGTTCGATTAATAATAATAAAAAAAATGGTTGTCCTTTCTCGCGCTACCTAATTTTGGCCAAAAAAAAGGAAACTGCCTTGATAACTGAGGAACCCCCTACTGCATTATATCAGTAAAATTTCAATTAAAAGTTTATTATTATTATTATTATTCACAGTTCAGTCTTATGGTAAGGACATCGACAAAATGTACCAATTTTGGCTTTCGCGGTATTCGAGAGTCGATCAGAAATGAAAAATGCGCATAATTCTTTGAGATAAATGAGCTGATTTGATTTCAAGCTGATGAATTCATTTCTCTCATATGGAGTGGAGAGAAGTTGCCTAATCCCGATACCAATAAAAACATGTCTTTAGTTTCCAGTTTCAGTTTTTGCTGAAATTATTTATCAGGAAATTCGTATAATCATCACAAAATATTAAAGAAATAAAATTAGGTATCGGTTTTTGCTGGGATTAGTTATCAGGAACTTCGTATAATCATCACATCATCCATATTTTTCAGTGGTTGCATATAGAACCCAAAAACCAGTTATTCGTTATCCAGCAGACTAATTTTTAGAACACGTAAATATCACTCAATTTCCTATAAACTCAAAGAATGCAACTAGCTGAACATGGAAAATAGAATTAAGTATTACATAAAATCATGAAATGGAGTTTTTCCATATTTATGACAGTTTCGATAGTAGCACATTCTTGAAAATTATCAAATAATCTCAAGAGAATATTTTTGTTGACATCATCTGACATCAAATAGTTCAATAGGTATATTAAATGAAAAACAGTAACAGAATTTTTACCATATATTTCTCAGCTGAAATTTTACAATGCTCTACTCTATATTCTTCTTGAATAAATGTATTTTCATATTCCATAAATTAATTTGCAAAGACCTGGACAATGTATTCCAAACCGTGATTTTTTGTAGAGTGGAATTCCAATGTAACAAAATTGCGACCAAGACCTCCTTCTTTCACAAACACACTTGATCGTTTCGATGCTGTTTTTGGACTCAACGCCAGTATACAGTAAATATTCCTATTTCCATGCCAATGCGTCTGTAAAATAAATAAATTAATTCGAAACACGATATTAACAAAAAAAATGTGGTGGGTGTTTGAATATGTTCAATATTAATTTGTCAGAAGAAGCAAATTGCCATTTAGAAGATTGGTTCATATGTGCATTTACAAACCTCTCAGTTGAGGGTGTTTCCACTAACAGATGGTAATTGATTTGGTCCCAGTGTAGAAAGAATCCAACAACAACCTGGTTTCAACGGAGGTGGGCGGTGGAGATGGTCCAAACATATGAATAATCAGGCCTTAAAATAAATACGTTTCATGTAGGTACACCTCCATCTGACAGAACATAACCTCTTACCGGTGCTTTATAAATCCGGCGAATTGCCGAAGGGATTTCTGCGTCTTGACAAAAATATAGGTTTCAGACAACCACTAAACAACGCCAGAAATCGCCGAGTCCGAAAATCTCAAAATCCCAGAATGGATGCAAACATTGCTGCAAGATAATTCGGATCACGCACCTCCTTATTCATAAAACTCCACAATCAAGAGGAAAGACAATTGACAAAATAGTCATTTCAGAACTAAACAGATCGGTGACAGTGATGACAGGTCGATTAAGCTAGCAGAGGTGACACTCTACTTCCGCGTTCAGCGAAATAGTCGGCCTTGAATAAAGGTAATTCCGAACGGAATACCTACGGTATTTCTATGGCTAAAATTCACCACATCTCAGCAAGAAAATAGCCAGAGCTTCGAATATGAATCGCACAGGGATAAAGATCTCAACTATAAACAACGTTCAGTGGCGTACCCGATATATTTTCCTTTTAATATTGACATGGAGCTAGTGCAAAATTCGCCCGTAACAACGTCTCTAGGAAAAGTGTATAGAGCTAGCTGCAAGGAGATTATGTTGAAAAATAAATACATTTTTCCCAAAATTTTTGTGGTGTTTTCTGGAATTTACTTCTTAACTAAAACACGAAGTTTCAACAAGACTAATAGGAAAGTCGTTACAAATGCTATTCACTTCATGAAATAAGAAGCCAGTATGCATTAGAAATCAATTAATACATCGAACTCTTATCAGCCTTTCTATGAAATTACAGTATCTGAGTACGACAGAATGAAGATATTTTCAAGAACCACTTGAAATTAAAATTACATGACTCTATGACAAGGTCGTAATCTCCCTGACTCGTCGATGCCTTTGTTCTTGCTTTGTTGCATTGTGGTGTATATTGATCGATAGAGAATTTTGTACTCCATACATTGATGATGTTCATCGTTTCCAAATATAAATTTTTTGCCTATTCCAGCTTATGATTATATGATTTTTGGCCAATTTTCTCTACGAATTCAAATTCAACCAGAGCGCTGCCGAAACAGCAATGTTCGAAGTTGGTTTACGTAATTTCGTTACGGGGATTTTAGCCTCGGAGATGAGCCCCGG